ATTAAGCTTTTGTGATACAATTTAGACGTGCTTGGAGCCTTGCTTGGTATCGCCGCGAGCATCTCTGAATGTTCTTTGACAATGAAAGCCTCATAGATTAGCGTTCCCGCGAACGGCCGTATGATGATGCGTTTCACGGCTAGAGTGGCAAAAGAGCATGTATGAAGCAGGGCTTGAGTCTTTATATGCCTGACTTACGTCATTAAATAAAGTGCTAACAAATTTCTGTGCCCCCAGCTTTCTGCCCATAACTGTTAGTCATTTGGAAAGAAGGCATAGGCTGTCATGGTGTGAGCCTCTTGTCTTATGCAATAAACCTCTCTCTTGTTTGTAATGAAGAAGTACCTAAATAAACTAATGACAGCTTGAATACAAAGAAATGTCCAACTATTTCAGTATCTGCCTTATTCAATTACAATCTATTCCGTAATGCCTACTATCACACCACTCCTTCATACAGAAAACTTGGTTTGAAATCCACACTTGTTCTTTGTAGAAAAAAAAAGATTATGAAAAAAAATATAGGCAACAAAGGCACTTGGGTAAAGGCCAGATGCCCGAGAAGTCAAATATCACAAGACAAACCTAATATCACAATTTTTAGGTTTTTTAGAGACGTGAAGAGAAAGCAAAACTTCAAACGCAGTTTTCACAATACTGTTTTTTTGGCATTATGCTCAGCTCGTGGAGCAGATATCTCGGCAACCACTGCACATATATTGATTCCGTTTGTTTTGCAACGCTCCTTGAACTGTGCTTCACGGGGCTGCAATGTTATTTTTTCATTTTACTCCCTCAAGAATTTTTCGTAGGGTTTCTTGTTTGTAGTGTAAGTGTGCTCATTGCAGTGCCCTTGAAGAAAATGTGAACTGCAAAATTTAGTGTTGCTAGAAAATTACCGTATTTTGAAAATGCAGCCCTTTTCAGCATACATCTGACTGTGCATTCAGTAATTACCAACTATCTTTATCATTTGATAAATCTACCAGCCCCTCCACGAGGTTCAATGAAGAAATAATTCGTATCTTATTAACTTCTTGTGTTATCACCTCGAAACTTTTATGAAAGCACTCTGAGGCCATTTTTACGTCTATGCCAATTTTCATCAACATCCAACCAGAAACAAGAAAGTTCGTTTTGAATAGGCATGTCCCCCCTTAATAAATTCACGAAGTATGCTTCAGGTGTAAAATTCCAGCCCTGTAATCATGGTGAGTGAGGGCACAAACATGTTAACAAAGGCCAAACTCAGTAACAGTATCACAAAAATCAAAATCCTGAAGTAGCATCGAGCAATGAGCAAACGTCTGGTGACTTTTGCGTACATATTATCACATCCAAGAACCTAGCAAGTGTGTAAGCCGCTTTCCTTCTTCTTCAGCATATTTAATGATGATTACAGTTATTTGCAACAAACAACACAGTCTAGTTTGAGGGCATGAAAGCCAGAGCGCTCAGACGTAGTCGTTTCTTTACAACAGCAGCACCTTGAATCTGAAAAACTACTCAAGGTGTCGGGGTGCGCGTTCAAAGCGGCCGAAAGCGTTGTCTGCTCTGCCAACCGGCGCTCTGACCACGTTGCCTTCGTTCTTTGCCAATGGTTTTGACTTCACTGCAATGCTGCTGAAGTCAAAATAATTGATCAGCTAATTCTGTAGTGTTGCAGCAGCGCAACTGTATGCAAATGCGACAGCGCAAGTGTACAAGATGGCGACCATCACGTAATATCGGCTCACGATATGTGCTGTCAACATAATTTTTGGTTCTAAAACTACCTTGTGGAACAGCAATGGCGAAAATTAGACAAAAGAAGACTGTTCTAGAGCAGTATGCCGCAGTAATTTCTGGTTGGCGCAGGTTTCCACAATTGACGCAGGTTTCTCATTACTGTAAACGTGTCGAGACATTTAAAGAGCGATGCAAAGAATGCGTACAGACAATTCAGGGGCGTCAGGCGAGCAGCCGCGTTTAACTTAATTCAAGAGCTAACATGATTACAGTTCATGCACAGCCTCACAGATGTGCATCCAAAAGCGAAATTACTGGGGCAGCATTTCTTTGGGCGGAACGCATTTTATCTTCTCATTTGTATCGCGAGTTGTAAAACCTGCGTGGCATCAAAATGACGTTGCGGAAGAAAGATCGGAAACATTAGACGCGCTCTTCTCCAGCTCCAGCCAATAAGGGGAGGCTGAATTGGATATGGATGGCAAAATCCTAGCTCACGCGAAGGCTTATAGGCTACGGCGCCCGTCTGCATCGACTTCCAGTTCGAGATGCCGTGCCGCCGTAAGGGCATTCTTTCCAGCGCTGTCGCTTTCTGCGTGTTCCACCCAGCACTCGCGGTGCCCTTTTTCTCACAAATTGCTGCATAAGGGTACGAACACAATGGCGGCGTGACGCTCTGCCGCGCGCCGCTCACTGCTCGTGAGACGCTGCTTTTCTCTCTCTCTCCCGCTGAGTGCCTAAAACTTCTGCCGCTGACCGAATTGCTCGCTGCTGCCAGCTCCAGCGCAAGCAAACCACCAATGAGCGCCTGCTTTTCCTTCCTTCCTTCTCACATCGGCGTCGCCTCCTCACCCATGCCATTTTCTTTCTCCGTCTGATGCGAAGAAGACAAGCTGCGAGCTGGCAGCTAGCAGGTGGGCACGCGCACCTCAACATGTCCATTTTTGTCTCACTTTCCTTGCAGCACCGCAAATGTCGGCAGCGTGCCCCTGGCTGCCGAGCGGAGGCGCCGACATCCTTCCCGCCAGTGTGCATGTACCTCATTACTTTAGGAGAGCTATGCAGTTAAGTTGAATAACAAATGCAGTGATGCTATCAAGGTCTTCTGATTCGGAGCAATTTTAGGAGCAGAAAAATTTTCATTTTGGGGCACTTTGGAGCAGCAAAACTTTCATCTTAGAGCACTTTGGAGCAGCAGAATTTTGCCTTTTGGAGCACTTTGGAGAAGGTAATTTTAAATCTGGGAACACTCCGGAGCATCTAACTTCACATCCCAGAGTACACTGGAGAAGCAAGTGGCATTTATTTTCAAAAACATTATTTTTTGGGGGCTCTTGTGAAGAGCTAGAAATGGTTCAATTCATTGCAAATCTTATGCAGTCAATAATCAGTAGAGCTCTCTAATTCACGCAATGCAAAGATAATTAATTTTTGGGAAAAGTAACTGCAAACTTTGACTTTAATGGTGTGATCGCTGGCATGCGCGCCATTTCCACGAGCATTACAGATGGTTCATACAACACTTTTACGTGTTGTACTCTCAACGCAAACAGACTGTTCGAAAAGTGTTTCACTTCCTGTAGTGGCCATATAGGAGTATGCACGGAGCCATGATCACAAGGATGCCGCACCATCGTCGCGTTAATCGGAGGTCTATTCGTACGCATCGTTCGTGCTGTACGTGCATGGGCATGCATGGACATGCAAGAGGTGTTCCGGAGATCTCTAGACATCCACGTTACCGTATGGGTATCGAACACAGCACATACAGCACATGCAGGAAGTCTTTAGCACATGTGACGAGTGCGTGGACCTTCGAAATGGCAACCCAACCACTAGTGTCCCTTGCAGATGATGTCAAATTGCGTCTTTTGGACCCAATATCGTGTAACTCAATAGGACCTGCTTAAAGAGACTATGGGTAATCCAGATGCCGATGCGGTTTTCGTCTTGTCAGTTACCTAAACGCGAAACAGAATAGCACAGAATGTTTACGAGCAATCTCATGATGCCCAGAAATTGCGAATGCCAGCGACTGCGCTCTTCGAGTCATGCATGCAGCACCCCCAAAAACAAACGAGCAAAGCAGTGTGAAGCAAGCAATACGATACCATGGTGTTTATTTTTTAACCATCAGCTATTGACCCTTGAGAGCAAAGAGGTGAACGTGCAACACGGCGTAGCTGTTTCACAGTGGGCCTTCCCACACCAGGCCTATCAGCGATGGGTCTACTACGGAAAGCTCCGCGCATTAAAGCTGAATTGCGGCTGCTCCGGTCAGGATGCATTCTTTTATTAATAAGATGACATTTTTTAAAGAGAGGGCGTGAAAAATTTGAACTCGAACCCTAGCACTCACAACCTCGAAAGGTATGTTTTTTTAGAGGAATTTACCACACAGCAATTACGAATGCAATTAAAAATTCGATTAAAAATGCTATTAAAAATGCGATTATTTGCCACACAGCAATTGCACAGCTATTACAAATTGCGAAAATAAAACTTTTCTGGATATAGATTTGTACATTAAGCAAACTTGACGAAGAGTGTCAACTCCTTTCCACCATTCAGTTGTTCTGTGGATGTGAAGCACGAAAAATTGAATCGCGATCTCCAGGAGTAGACGAGACTGATATTCTGGCGGCACATGTGCAATTATTAGCGAAAATTGCTTCAATTACATGACCCACAACTATTCAAACGAGCTATCAGCAGCATTCCTGAAATAGACGACGTCTGCTGATGAATCACCGCCATAGTTTCATGCTGCCGATTGTACCAGACGTTATAAGCTATTGTGGAGAGGGTGTTTCGGTATTAAGCAGACTTGCACAACAGAAGTTGCATTGGCACCAAATAGCATCGTAAAATGCTGTTTATTCAGCGGAATAAATTTAGGTTCGTGATTGTGACTATGATAGTCTCAAGGACAACGTGCACATGTTTTGACGTGCCAGCGTGGCTTTTGCCTGGGATCGACGCTTCCAAATCTGACTTTGGCGTACTTTCTGTCGATATTATCAGGATGACGCAGTAAATCTTAATTGGTGCATTTCGGCGTAGTTGGTGCAGGAGTAAGATCACTGGTTGTGCATCTGTAAGAGCTGGTAAAGAAATTACTCCAGTTTTATGCATTTAAGACAGAGCATAATTAAAGTATTTTCTACTGATTCCAGCTACTTTCTACAAAAGTTTAACCAAAAGAAACTGCCTATTTTTGATTATACAAATTCAGGATGATGCAAAATACCCTGTCCACAACCGACACTCACCTGTAACAAAAGATCTGAAGGCAGCCGGATTCGAATAAGCGTGTAGCGGTACATCAAGTGCTCTCGCCTCTCGTCACGCTCACGCATGGCCTTGGTCCGCAGCGTCATCTGCACTTCCACTTCACGACGTCTGTAATTGCCAATTGATTGGGATGGTTAACTCAATGAGAAGCAATGCAATGCGCTCAAGACAGGACAGTGGAGAGTGAGTGCATTTTCCCATTCCACTACCATCAGACACTGTGCACTATGTCATGGCCACTAACAGTCTTGCTATGCCAGTGCAGGGCACAAAACATATTCAGGTCCTGTGTCCAGCACCGTGATGCTCCAGCAATGCAGACACTGTGGAAGCCAACCAAGGCACCATAAAAGACAAGAGGCAGATGAGGGGGCATTGGGATGCTAAGCAGACAGACTGCTTGCATTAAACAACAATTGGCTGGATTTTCGCTCGGGAACTGTACCTAGAATAACACTCGAAGTGCAACGATGCCAGCACAGACGGTCGTCAAATGACCTGATCAGTGCTGAGGTGCACCAGCATTTAGACAGATGCTATTGAAGATCCCAGGCTTATTGCTTTAGGTTGCATTGGTTTCAAAATAAACTTCACTTTTTACTAGGCACACTTGAGCTTGCGAGTATAATCTAAAAGGGCCGGGAAGGTCGAACAATCTCCATGCAGTGTGCACTAGAACGTGGTCACAAGAAAATAGAGGAAGAAGCTGTAGAAGCTTGGAAACTTCAATAGGGCCTTGATCTTGGCATATAAACAAAATGCTGCTGTTTAAAGAGCCCCTCACCAGGTTTGAAAATTTTGAGTGCAATGTATACACTGGGCATTCATGATCATGTCTGCCAAAATTTGTAATGCTATGCACCGCAGAAATGGGTGAAATTACAAGATGAACATTGCTTGCCCTTCCTATCGTGGGTGCGTGCCCAAAGGGTGAGGACATGATGTAGGCGTCGAAACTGCACTACGTAGATGGCAGTACTGCGACGTTGATCCTCTACGCAGACAAGTGTACTCTGACATGGCCAGCAGTAACACGTGACACGGCAAAAATTATTTCACACAACATGTGTAGCTTGTGTAATTGGTTGCTTGAATAGATGACAGAGTTCGTGCTCTTTTGCATAACAAAAATTCAAGGGTTCTCAAGGTCTTTCAAGGCTATGTGTGCGAATTTTCAAGAAAAACATTGTCCGTTTGAAACCCAATTAACATGTGTTCAGGGGAGGATAAATGCCTAAAATAACTAGAATTATTTGAAAAAAGATACCACCACTGGAGCAGATGTCAAAAATATGGCTCCAATGGCAATTAGTACTTTCCAAACAACTTTCAATCATAGTTTCTTAAACTTGCATAGATAACCACTTGCAGTATGACACAAGTTTCAAACTTTTATTCGGATAGGAAAAAGTAAGGAACAGTTATCACGTAACACCTTGTTGCTTTTTTTAAAATTTTCATATCATATCCACTATCTCCTGCAGCCTAGCCCTGGCAGTCTTGGCAGTCTTTTTAAGGTTTGTCACGATTTATCTCAGGTGCGCTTGTGAAGGGTTGGATTGAGAGAGACAGGAGACGGCATGGCAAAGCAAACACTCTTTATCACACACAAAAATGGAAAAAAAGTAAGAAAAATCAAAAAAAAAAAACGCTTGCAAGTACAGAAAACTACTCTAAAACAGCTTGTACATATTTAAATCAAAAATGAACTTACCCCTGTCTAAATCCATTTCTAGACCTAGCCGATAGTACAATGTGGCATCTCAACAATGCAACGTTATTAGTTTGTCGCCTCGCCATGTCGACTCGGTGCCCTTGTCGTGCCAACGGTGTTGTCGACGTCCTCCCCAAGTTCCTACAGTCGTCATTTTCTTTGGCCAAACAAGCCACTCGACCTCATTGCCGGTTGGTTACGGTCTTCGTCGTCTTCTCTTGCTTAGTTAGGCTCTGCCTAACTTGTCAACGGTGTCTTGACTGTGGTGCAGGCTGCACGCGTTTTGGATCGAAGCGAAGGGGCTGTAGGCCCACCGGATACTGCGGTGAAAGTTTGCGGCAAGTCCAAGCAGCCTCACTGGAGTCTCCAGAAATCGGCGGTGACTTCCCAAGCCTCTTCGCTGGGCTTGTCTACTGCTTCCGTCACAGTAGCGATGCTGACCTTCTTGACCTTCGCAGTTCGAAGCCCCAACGCACAGTGACAGCTCATCCTTCGAGATTTCTCATTACAGCTTGGGACACGTGTCACAAGCTTTTCTCCGACCAATCTCGTATGTCAACGTGGTGCTTCAGGGCACTATTGGGAGTCCCACGCATGAACGTCGCATTTCAGGGCCTGGCACGTGCCTTGTGCCCTCTTACTTATGACGAGGTTGTTTGACTTGATGATGCACACCAACTTGTCTCCGCCTTTTCTGCATATGGGTCTGCTGTAGTTGTTAATTCCCTTAAAAGCAACTTCTAGTTTTCTTTCCATTTTTGTAAGCATTTATACCTCCTTCTACCTCCTCCTGAATGCAATATTTATTTTTCTCTTTCTCATCCTCCTGCTCCTGAATTTTTTGAATTTGTACAAATGCACAATTCTGTACAGAAGCTACTGATGTTCTGAATTTTTTTAGTGATGGGCATATTACATATTGCCACGTTCTTTTCCTCAAGTTTTGTTATCAGCCCGTTACACTATGTTCAGCGCAAACCGCACTTACGCTATTTGAGAAGCTTCGAGGCTTTAATAGATCGTCTTGTTAATATTACGCCCACTTCGGGAATGTCACAGATTATTCAGGAACCTACAGCGCTGCTAGTGATAATGCTAGAATATTCGATGGCAAGGGTATAAAAGCCGACACGCTTCGCCGCTTATCAGTTGATTAACGGCCGACGTTTTGTTCGCCGCTATCAGTGCAAGACTGCTACTGTAATCTGACTTTCCATTTACTGGGCAGTTTATTATATTTACTGGGCAGTTTATTAAATAAACAGTTTATTATTTGACTCGCAGTGTGCTCCATTCGTCCACGTCACGACCCCGTGACATCTGGTGGAGGTGCTGTTTCTTCCATCTACCGGACGCCCCCGTCAAGTCGTGAACCCAGCCCACGCCGCGAAAAAGACACCGACGCCAGCAACGAGCAGCGAGTTAGCCGCAGTCAACAATGCCTGGCACCGGAGTACGGGCTTTTACCGAAAAAGACTCGGACGATCAAGACCATGACATCAATCGCGGCAATGATGACAACTGCTGCGCCACAGCCCGCGATCATGATGCAGCAGCCAAGGAAACCACTGATTTTCCGTGGGTCATTGTTTGAAGATCTGGAGACCTGGCTGGAGACCTATGACCGGGTGGCCGCCCTGAACCATTGGGACATAGAAGACAAGCTGCGCCACGTCTACTTTCATTTGGTCGACGCGGCTAGGACCTGGTTGAAGAATCGGGAGTCTGCCCTTCAAACATCGGATCTCTTCCACGGCGCTGCTAGAAACGAGGGTGCAGCTCCCGAACGAAAATGTAACAATCTTCGTGAAAGAAATGACGCGACTTTTCTACCTCTCTGACTCCAACATGCTCGAAAAGAAAAAAAGTTTTGTTTTCTCATGCGAGAGGTCAAGCAAGGACTCTTCGCTGGACTTATCCGAAACCCCTAGCAGACTGTCCAGGAGTTCCTGTTGGAAGCAAGATGAATCTAGAAGACGCTGGAAATGTGAATGCACCATTACAATAAGCAAACGATGGAAGACGATCCAGTTCTTCGTGCTCTCAGCTCTGACGACCTTCGAGAAACGATACGAGCGATCGTACGGGAACAGCTGCGTGAATTGTTGCTGGCCTCACAGCATCCCATTGACCCGATCGCTGACATTGTATGCCAGGAAGTCCAGCAATTTTTTCGGACACCCAAACCAGCGGCCTGAGTCACAAGCCATGAACTATGCTGCTGCAGCCCGCCGTCACGCCTCCTCCTCTACGGCCATGCCAAAACGCCGGCCCGTCGCACTTCCGTTGCTAGACGCCACTGCCACCACCACCACCGCCGGCGTTGTATCCTTCGCCAGCGGGCCAGCAAAACACGCTGAGGAAAACCGACGTTTGGTGGGCCCCTAACAACCACCTACTCTGCTACCACTGCGGCGAGGCCAGACACACATACCGCTCTTGCCAGTACCGACAGATGGATCTACAGGGCTTCGACATCAATGCGTCATGCCCACAACGGGTGAACGACCGCATGACATCGCCGACTACCTCACGGGAGCGGATATGATTCCATCACCTGGTCCGGATATGATTCCCAACGAATTTATGAGGTGCTACTCTGATTGGGTTTCTAGTTTCTTAGTTATAATTTTTAATTTATCTTTGTGTACTGCCGCTGTTCCGATTGATTGGTTATTAGCAAGAGTTGCGCCCATTTTCAAAGCTGGTGACCGCCTTAAGGTTTGTAATTACCGTCCAATTTCTACCACATGCACGGCGTGCAAAGTAATAGAACATATAATTTCAAAATATATATTTCAATATATAGAAAACAATAATCTGTTTTATAATAAGCAACACGGTTTTAGAAAAGGCCTTTCAACCGTCACTCAGCTTTTTGAATCTGTTCATGCTTTCGCTACAGCGATAAACTCAAAAGAACAAGTCGATGTCATAGCAATTGATTTCTCTAAGGCCTTTGATAGAGTATGTCACCAGAAACTTATTCAAAAAATGTTAATACTTGGTATTGATCCCGCAATTGTAAGATGGGTTGAGACGTACTTGCGCAATAGGTTGCAGTTTGTTGAAATAAGTGGCGCACGTTCTTCTCTTTTACGCGTATCCTCTGGTGTGCCACAAGGCTCCGTGTTGGGACCTCTACTCTTTTTAATTTATGTGAATTATATTGCAACGGTTGTGCCTCCTTTTGTTGATGTAAGGTTATATGCAGATGATTGTCTCTTGTTTTGTCATGTGAAAAGTGACTTGCTTCTTCACGACGTCGCATTCACGCATTAAAACTCGGTACGGGCTTTGTCAAACTGATCGGGCACTTTCTTCTGTTGCGATGCGATGTTTTGCAAATGGGGTTTGTCAAATTCGCGATGATGACGAGAAGCAGTCCTTGAATTGCAAGAGCAGAGACTTGAGCTGGTCTTGCTTGCCCTTCGAAAGGCTCGGGTTGACATTGAAATCTGGTTTGGCCCCTCGATTCGTCAAAGCAGCATCGCCAGCATCAAAGAGGGCGAATGAATTGCTGGCCTCCAGGAATTTGTCTATATGGGCGACCGCTGTAGTACGGTTGAGGTGCCTATATTCGGGAGTGAAGTTTGTCTGTACCACCTTTCTTTTGCCGTCACGCAGCTTAGCTATGCCTCTTGCGACGCAAATCTTACGGTTCAGGAGAATGTGCTGATCGCCCTCGACCATACCTTCAAAGTTTTTGGCTTTTTCGGTGCCAATGGAAACGACGGCTCTTAAGAAAGGCGGCACCGTGACCTGCTCTTCTAGCACATGCAATGCGTAGTTGCTTGGTGTTGTAGGGGTCGGCAGCGTATTTTCTCAGGTTAGTGTGACTGACTCAGACCTCAGGTCGATGATAGCGCCGTGTTGACCTAGAAAGTTCATTCTAAGTATCACATCCCTGGAGCAATTTTGTTAGATTACAAAGCTCACAGGGTAAGTCTGGTTATTTATGGGGATTTTTGCTGTGCACACTTCAGTCGGTGTTAATAAGTGACCTCCAGCAGTCTAGATTTCGGGGCCTTGCCATGCAGTCCTCACTTTTTTCAACTTTGTCTCGATAGACCCACTGACGACGGAATAGTCGGCTCAAGTATTGACGAGAGCAGCGACGAGGTGGCCGTCGAATATTACGTTGAGGTCGCTGGTTCGTCGTTGTGCGTTGCGGTTAGGTCGTGGCGTCGGGTCACGGTTTTTGCTCCGCTGCTTCCACGTTGCTTCGTGACATCTTCTGTAGGCTACGAAGGTTCGACGTCAAGACCTTTTTGTCTTGCGGCGGGAGCTTTCGATTTCGTGTCAGCGGTGGCGAAGGAGCTTCGGTAGTTCGTCGTACAGCAACCGCACCTCCGTCAGTTGCTGCCCTTAGTTTTCCGAGGAAAGGCTCGGTGATCAGCCGCGAACAGAGCCAATGTACTGCCCGCGGTGCAGTGAGGCGTAGTGGCGTGGGGACGGGGAACGATTTATTTATTTATTTACAATACTGCTAGCCCTTGCGGGCTGTAGCAGGGGTGGGAGGTGAACAGGTGAACAATACACAAACAATGTTAGGCAAAAAACAAGTCCAGCCGTTGTTGAAAATCCTGTGAGGATCTACATCCTGTAAGTACCTCGGGAGGAAGCGCATTCCAGTCAACAATAGATCGCACCAGAAACGAAAACTTAAATACATCCACCCGCGGTACATAAGCTTGGACAGAAAATGAGTGATTGATACGAGCCGACACTCATCCTGGGGGGCGCAGGTATACACTGGGATCCAGCTTGTAGTTCTTATGATACAGGTCATAAATAAATTTTAAGCGAGCTATTTTTCTACGTGTAGCTAACGATTGAAGGTCAGCCCTAGCAAGCAAAAGTGATACAGACTGTGTTCTCATGTTATTTGAATAAATAAACCTCGCGGCCAATCTTTGTACTCGTTCAAGTTTGTTCATTTCAGTTTTAGTATGCGGATCCCAGATCATAGCTGCGTACTCCAGCGTTGGTCTAACAATAGTCTTATACGCCAACAATTTAACAGAGGGCGCTGCATTACGGAGTTTCCTTCTCAGAAAACCCAGCTTTCGCTTCACCAGTCCTGTAATGTTGTCAATATGATTGTCCCACTTTAAACTGCTGGATATAGTAACACCTAAGTATTTAAACTCATTAGAACTCTTAATTTCTCTATTGTTTATTGTGTATTTATAGTTAAGGGGGGATTTTTTATTTGAAATTGTCATGCAAACAGTTTTATCAAAATTGATTTTCATGTCCCATTTTTCACACCAGCGAGCTGACCTGGACCTCAGAAACCTTCTGGAATACCTTGAGGGTAATAGCACGACTGTTCCAAATGTTTTTAAGAGAGGACTGGAGTCGTTGTTCTTGTGAAACGGAGTTCTCTTAAAAAACTTCTCGCCCCTTTGAGCCGACCACCTTCTTATGGTTCCATCAGCAGTGAGACCAGAAGTACTCGAGGCACTACGCGACGACCTGACCGCTGGACACCTCGGTGTTTTTCGTACGCTTGCAAGAATACAAGAAAAGTACTACTGACCACGACTAACAGCCGACAGCACCTGCTACGTCAGGACCTGCCGCGACTGGCAATGACGAAAGACACCGCCAACTAGGCCAGCCAGACTTCTCCAGCCCATCGAGCCACCTCGCCGGCCATTTCAGCAAATCGACATAGACTTACTGGGGCCGTTCCTGACGTTGAATTCCGAAAACAAATGGATCATCGTAGCTACTACCTCACACACTATACCGAAACAAAGGGCCTCCCCAAAGGCAGTGCCTCTGAGGTAGCAAGGTTCTTCGTCGAGAACACTGTTCTCCGTCACGGAGCTCCACAGGTCCTCCATACTGATAGAGGTACAGTATTTACGGCGGACCTAACTCAGGCGATCCTGACGTACAGCCAGACACGTCACCGCCGCACCACCACCTACCAATCACAAACCAATGGCCTCACCGAACGTCTTAATAAGGCCATTGCTGATATGCTGGCTATGTACGTCAACGTCGAGCACAAGACGTGAGATGAAATCCTTCCGTACATGACGTTCGCGTACGATACGGCCGTCCAAGGAATGACGCAGATGACGCCGTACAAGTTGGTCTATGGAAGGAGCCCGGCAACAACGCTGACGCTATGCTTCCAAACGTCACTTACGAAGAGAACCTTGACATCACCACTTACCTTTATCGCACGGAAGAAGGTCGTCAACTCGCTTGCCTGCGCATCAATAATCAGCAGGCGACCGACAGCTGCCGTTACAATTTTCGATAAAGCTTCGTTGAGTACCAGCTCGCAGATCGTGCTTGCGTGTGGATGCCGATATGCTGACGTGGGCTCAGTGAAAAATATCTGCGACGGTACTTTGGACCGTATAAAGTAGTTAGTCGTCTCGGCCCGCTCGACTACGAGGTTGTTCCCAATGGCATAACAAACTCTCAACGGCGCCGTGCTCGACCTGAAGTCGTTCATATTGTGCGCCTCAAACTATTTCATGCGCAAACCTGAGAACTGCATTTTGTTGTTGTTGCTGTACTTATTGTTTATTGTCTTTATTTATTGTACCTTTGTTTTTCATTAAAGCATCGGGGCGATGCCTTTTTCAGAGGGGGGCAATGCTACGTTACTTTCCTCGAGTTTTGTTGTCCCCCCCGTTACACTACGTTCAGCGCGAACTGCGCCTATGATGTTCGAGAAGCTTTGAGGCTTTAATAGATCGTTTTGTTAAGATTACGCTCACTTCCGGAATGTCAAGGATTATCTCGGAAACCATGTCGCCGCTAGCGATAACGCTGAAATATTTGGTGGCAAGGGTATAAATGCTGACACCCTTCACCGATTGTCACTTGATTGATGGCCAATGCTCCGTTCGCCTCTATCAGTGCAAGACTGCTACTGTAATCTGGCTTTCCATTTACTGGACCCAGGTTCGCCCAAATAAACAGTTTATTGTTCGACTATCAGTGTGCTCCATTCGTCCACGTCACGACCCCGTAATAATATGCCACCTGCTACATTTATAGCATCACAAATAATGCGCTGCGAAATGTGCAACAACGTTTATAAAAAAACAAAATTCAAGAATTTGAGAACATTCCAGCACTTTCAAGGCATTTGAAATTAACTTCTCAAATTGAAGGGTTTTTTAAAGAAATTCATGGATCTGCACAAACCCTGGATAAATAAAACTTGAGATAAATAATGAGACACACAAAGGGAATGCGTGTGTCTTTTTCATTTTTTTTCCTCGCGAATGGCAATGAGATGCGGGGCTAATGTGCCTGTGTTTCGCATGCGCTTTGGTCCCCGTGGTTAGCGCATCGAGCAGATACCAGCTTTGGAAGCGAAAATATTTGTCCTGCCTGTTGGAGCACTTAATATGCTGACATATTCTACTGGGTCTAAGCCATGATTTCCAAGCAAGTGTGCACTGAGGCATTCATCCTGCAGAAACAGACAGTAGACTACAAAAATAACACTGGCCTACAAAACAACGCCGCTTGCATGCTCGGGGGTTAGACTTGCTTGTTCACGTCACTTGCTTCTTCACGTCACGCATGCTCGGGGGTTAGACTTGCTTGTTCAAGGCTACGCGGGGCGAGCGGCAAGAGTTTCAAGATCACTTCCTTGCATCATGGTTTCGCGCCACTTCAAAATACCATTTTTCTCAGCTTGTAATGCAGCGAAAATTTTGCGGCATAATGCTCTTAATCGGACACACAACTGCCATGGTCTAACTAAAACTTGTTATGGAGCCTGGTGAAGGCCCTTTAAAAGCATTTTAACACATTGGCAATTGCATGCACTTTTTCTTTCCTTTCTTTTTTTTTTGTTTTTAGCCCCATCAAGTCAAGAGTCAATTTATGTTCTGGTTTTTTATGGTTGTGTGTACGAGTGTTAGCAAATGCAAATCGAAAAACCGCCATTGTGGGACGCAGTCATAGCAGAGCATGTTTATTTTTCCAACACTTTAGATTTTTTAACTTCTCAACAAAATTGAAGATGACAGAGGACAAAACGGAAAGCACTGAATTTACAGTTCCTCTTTAATCTGCTGATCACAGCTGCTGTGCACACTCAGCGGAGGAAGAAATAGCAAAAGCCGGTGGGACCACAACTACAACTAGCAGAAGACGGGTAACACAGTATGCAAGCTTAAGTTGTTACTTGAACTTATTATTCACGTAGCCTCATCAAGCGTGACACCCACCGGGCCTCCTGTTCACGCAGCAGCTCGTCGGGGCTGAGATTGAAGAAGGAGTCAGGGAGCACCAACTGCTGAGCCGCTTCATGGGGAAGCAGCACACGCAGCGAACGATCCAGGACAGGCCGCACGGGCTTCGCACAGCACAGAGCGTCAGCCAAGAGGCGCAGCTGCTCGAGGTCTCTGTCCACAGGAAACTCGAGCCATTCCTCGAAGGACGGCTCCGCCTCGTGTCGCCGTTCAAACCCAGCTGCCTGCGAGGACCACACCAGTCGCGTCTCGCTCATAATAAGTTTATTCAATCGTGCTACTAAACCCGTACAGACACACACATACACACAGCACCGATATTCAACAAGAAATGTTTATTCTCCTACCGACATGTCTGATATACATAAGTACTGTGAAAAAATTTTAGATGTCTAAACACCTAAAGCACCACTAGAAGAACAAAGAGCTGTTTCAGGAGTCTAGAATTCTCCCTCATTACGATGTAGCGACTAGCCCAGCAAAAAGTACTTCTAAGGTGCATAAGTACACCAGTTGGAGAAAATAAAACAAGAACGGTGGTTGACACAAATGGAGAATGAAGACTGCAATGCCCCGGGTCAAAATGTGACCGAAATGTCTGCTGGTGTCATTTATGAATTTCTGCTATGCTGCGGCAAGATGTAAGTCAACCAGATGGGAAGGTGTGTAAATGAGCATGCGCAAGAACACGAGTTTTCGTAAGAAGGTAGAGATGGGGCACATTTGGTGATGCACTACAATTTTACCAAGTGTGAACGTGCCTGAATAAGATTCAGGTTATCGGCAGAAGCAGGGACACCACGGCTCAAGAATCACTGGAGGAATCCTACATAAAAGCTTAAGATTCCTCCTGACACATCGTTGTCTCTCTTTCAGGCAGACCCAGGTGAAATCTTCAAACTGATGCCACCGAGTTATGCTAAATTGAAGCAATTTTTGGAGCAGTAAAATTTACATTTTGGAGCACTTTGGAGCAGCAATATTTTTCGTTTTGGAGCACTTTGGAGCTTCAAAATTTTCTATATTGGAGGAATCCAGAGCATGTAACTTCACATCCTGAAAAAGAAGCAAGTTGCATTTACATTCAAGAAGATGAATAATTATTTTGGGGCTCTTGTGAAGTGCTAGAAATATTTAATTTGATTGCAAACCTCATGGATCCAAACATCTTAGGAGCACTCTCTATTTCAGTTGACGATGCAAAAACAATGTCATGTTCTTGAGCATTCTAGAAAAACTTGTTAACTGGCTATTTTCACAGCAAATAAGCAGAATACTGGTTGAATAAAATAGTATATGAAATAACATTCTAAATACACGCTTGTGGTTATCAGCAGATTTGATAGACAAGCGCTGTCACGTACACCGCTTAAGACTCATACAAACTGCATTTCTGGAAGATGAATTCAAGAATAAAAAATATTCTTTTGCTTCACAACAAATTATACCATATTTTATCACATAACAAGCCCTCGCATGTAACCCGTACTCCTAACTGCGTGCTCCCAGAAAAAAAAAAATCCTCGCGTGTAACCCACATGCTTAGCTTTAAAAAAAACAGTTTTGGGAAGTCACAACTGCACAGCCCATCACAATCTTGTTTACAAAAGCACTTTATTTCAAAGCGTTCACCGCAACGTTGATGGCGCCGAATTCCGTTCTTTCACATCACCCGAATCGCCGCTGAGGCTGCTGCCAGCTGAGACTTCGTCGCCGCTCCTGAAGACGCAATTGTCTTCGGTGCCATCTAAGCAATTGCTAGTGGCACACTTTTTGAAGCTCTTGCGCACCATGTCGGCCGGAATCGCCCCCCACACATCCACGATGCACTGGCACAGCAGCGCAATGTCTGGCCTTCGCACGCCCCCAGTCGGTGTCAAGGCCAAACCCCATAAACGTGAAAATGCACGCAACAGCGACGAGAGATGCTATGAGCAACAAAACAGGGCCTTCGCGCGACGTGTCGCGTGGTAGTTTTCACGCGATCACTAAGTTCTCTAGATTTTGAAACCAGCGCCCATCCACCGGAAGTGCTGTAATAAAAGCGCCAGAACATAACTGACGTACTGCCGGTTCTCTCCAGTTGCCACGAAACCACCACTAGAGTGTGACCCAGAATAAGGGGGAGTGTTCAAAGCACCGCGCCAATACATGGGAGGAGCGAGGAAATTTTGCAGTGAACTTCCGCGACGCAGCACTGTCGTGCCTGACCCGTGAGATGTTTAAGGTAGTTAAAGCAGGTGGTATATGGGGTTGTGGAGACACATCTTCAGGACATGGAGCAACCACCTTGCACTCCAGACTACATATGGGACTATTGCAATAAAACAGAAGGCAGCAAAAAGGGGGTGGAATTTGAGCATTTACACCTAAAAGTATGGGTTGGCAAAAAGTCAAGGAGGGATGCCTGGAACATTTATGGTTAAAAGGGAAAGTAGCTGGGCAGATGACACTCCTTGGTTTGGTTCACTTGTGGACAGGAGCAAAGGTCAGAGAAAAAAACCAGGCAATGGTGGAGTGTATAACAAATGACATTGAGGAATTAGGAAGAGAGTGCGAGATAATTATACTAGGAGATATGAATGCGCACATAGAAGATATAGATATGTATACCGACCCAACAGGTAAAATGATCATGGATATATGTGAAAGGCATGATTTGATCATTTTCAACAGTACTGAGAAGTGTGAAAGGGCAAATAAAATGGGAGGTAGGAAGGCTGCAGTCAACAATAGATTATGCACTGATGTCACATAGGATGTATGATATGCCCAGGGTTATGCACATAGATGAATGTGGCTCCAGAAGCCTGGGTAGTGATCACAAACGTATCAAGGTAAGTTTTGGAAGAGCCATGAAAGTTGGAAGGACACAAGATGAGCAATTACAGGAAAATTTTTATTTAGAAAGGCAAATAGAAATAGTTAGTAAACAAATTGAGTAAGTATTCACTGAGCATAATAAAACAGTGTGGATATACATGAATCTAATTAGACTGTTTGAGCTAGAGCTTGCTAAGGCACGTTACAAGTCACCCCGAAAAAAAAGACACAAACCCAACAGTTGGTGGGATGAGGAAGTTAAGAGAACCATAGCAAAACGTCAGGAAGCCTCTAGGGAACACAGACATTCTAAGCAGCGTCGTGAACCGACAGATGTCGAAAGAAAATGGGATATCTTTCTAAGTTGTAGAAGGGAAGCGTCCCTTCTGATCAATGAAAAGATTATAAAAAAGGGGACTCATTGGCTGGCACAGTACATAAAAGGGATAAAAAGCAGCTACAAAATTTTGGAACTATCTATACTCTATAAGAAATGAGACAAGCCTAGAGCAGAGGTTTATAACTACAGCTCAAGGTGTTAGGCTAGAAGGGGACGAAGCTATTGAATATATAAGAACAAGGATGACAAAAAAATTTCAACAAGATAGTGCCTTAAGCACCACAATAGAGAAGGATAGATCAAGTGGCGCAATGGCTCCATTTTCACAACGAGAATGGGAAAGGGCTGAGAAGAGGGTTCCAAGTAGTAGATCAACAGGCCCAGACGGCACCCTAATTTTGCTGCTAAAGAAATTAGGTAGGAAGTCTATACAGATTATGAGGGAGGCAGCGAGCAACATGATAATCGATGGTAAGTCCCCAATGGATGGAAACTTGCAGAATGAGCATGATCTATAAAGAAAAGGGGGAAAAAGCTGACAAACAACTACCGTCCTATAACAGTGACATCAGTGGTCTACAGGCTGGCGATGCAGATTATAAAGAAAAGACTGCAGGCATGGATAGAGGATGAGGGAGTGCTTGGGGAACTGCAGAGTGGGTTTCTGAAACTCAGGAGGTTGGCAGACAATCTGTTCTCACTGACGCAGTGCATCGAAATAGCAGAAAAGAAACAGAGGCCCCTGTGGCTAGTATTTTTGGATATCGAGGAAGCGTATGATAGCGTGGTTCAAGAGAAATTGTGGGGAATACTGGACACACTAGGTGTGGAAAATAAAGTCACTAATCTTTTAAGTATATGTATAAAGGTAACAATATGTATAAAGGTAACAAGTTATAAAACTGAAAAGAAAAATGAACATCTGAGATTACAGAAATAAAACGGGAGCTTAGATAGAGATGTCTTCTGTCACCCTCGTTATTTATGCTGTACCTACAAGAATTGCGAAGCCAAATGAGAGGAGAGTAGACTCGGTTTCAGCCTCTCTTTCGTCAAACAAGGAAAACTTATTGAACAAGCACTACCAGCATTGATGTAAGCAGATGATATAGTGCTAATGGCCGACAACAAGGAAGATTTGCAGAGATTGATTGACATCTGTGGTAATGAGGGAGATAGAGAGATTTCAGATTCAGTAAGAAAAAATCAGCAGTCATGATTTTTAATGATAATGAAGGTAGTAAGCTTAGAATACAGGACGTCCCGCTAGAGATAACAGATAAATACAAATATCTGGGTGTATGGATAAGCAATGGGCCTGAGTACCCAAGGGAACAAGAAATATATGGGACAAGTAAGGGTAAAAGGAATGCAGAGGTGATGAAAAATAGGGCACTGTGGAATTACAATAGGTATAATGTTGTGAGAGGAATTTGGAAAGGGGTCATGGTTCCTGGTCTGAAATTCGACAATGCAGTTTCGTGCATTGGATCAGAGGTTCAAGCAAGATTAGAAATTAAGCAACGTGGAATAGGTAGGCTTGCTTTAAGAGCTCACAGGAATTCACCAAATCAGGGAGTACAAGGTGATATGGGATTGACATCATTGAAGGACAGCAAAGCTAGCAGCAAGATAAAATTTGAGAAGCGATTCAGAGAAATGGGGGAGGAGCGTTGGGCTAGGAAGGTTTTCAGTTACTTGTACAAGAGGAATGTCGATACAAAATGGAGAAAGCGAACCATAAATTTGATGGGTAAGTACTTATAAAAGAGCAGGGAGCCAAACCAAAAAGAACTATCAGTTAAGAAGAAGGTGAAGGAAACAAGGACCGATATGTGGAGAATCGGCATGATTAAGAAATCCACGCTAGAGATGTATCAAACATTCAAGCAGAAAATTGCCAAGGAAAGAATCTATGATAATTCTCGGAGTACCTTTTTGCTGTTTGAGGCCAAAATGGGAGTATTGCACACCAAGACTTATCGGGCCAAATAAGAAGTGGCGGACATGGTATGAAGTGCGCGTGAAGAGGAGGAGGAAACTGCCGAACACTTGATAACG